ATAACTCCTATGAAACGGAAGATTTGATAGCTGCAGCCGTTTTGAAAGCTACAAAGGTTCAACACAGAGCCCTCAGGGAAAATTTGAACAATTTTTTGCATTCTGTGTGTGTGTGTGTGTGTATGTGTGTGGGGCATTAAAAAAGTGCTCTGAAAGCTGTGAACTTTCTGACCTTTTCCGTTTCCCTCCAATTCCGTTTCACCAACATACGAAGTCGCCGTTGTTGTAGTCGTCGACGTCTTCATATTCTCTTACTTCATTCCACCCCTTCCTCTTCTCATTTCTCTCTCTCTCTATCTCTCTATCATCTCCCTCTCTTGTTCATCAAAAATGTTCGTAAACATTCTTCTTTCAGTTTATTCTTTGCATGTAAATTTTATTTTTATAAAAATTATAAAATAATAAATTCCATTTGAGATACGATGAGAAGTGAGTGAGACGATAATGGAAAATGACAAAGAGTATAGAGAGAGAGAGAGAGAGAGAAACGTGACAAAAGAGATAGAAAGAGGTAGATGTTGATGAATAAAGAGGGTGGCATAGAGAGAGTACCAAGTAGGATGGAGGGCTGAGGAGCGAAGCCGGAACGAATAAGTTTGCTGACAGTGCATTTTGATTTACATTTCTTGAGAAATTTGCTGAAGAAAGTACAGTGGCATATCATATTTATGAATTTTTATTTTCCTTTCTTCGTATTTGCTTCTCTACCTCACTCTCTCTCTCTTACTCCCTCTTACTCTCTTGATGGCTTTCTCATCCCTCGTTTGTGGCTCATTCCCTTCATCTTACGTACGTCCACCCCCATCAAACAGATATTTTCGTTTTGTATGACCAAGGCAAGCCTTTTATGAGAAATATATGAATGAACGTAGATAAACGTCTGAAATGGAGTGAAAAAAGAAAAAAAAAGTTTTTGCAAACGAAAATCTCACAAAATATAGAAATGTCAACATTCGCATAGCCTCCGGCAATATCTAAGACCTTTAAGGGAACATCATCTTGTTGTAACTTCACATAAATAAATATGAAACAGATTTGGTTGTGCGCAAATACGAAGATCATTGGTTCCTTAAGAACTCTCGTTGCTCAGATAACAAGTTTTCATCTTCTCTCTCTAACTCTCTCTTTTTGATAAAAAAAAATGAAATTTCTTGATTATGTCAGTGAGAGTTGAAGCTCAATTAACTCAGTCAATTCCGAGGAAGCTTTACATATGTGTCAGTTGAGTTGAAAGCTCACTTACTTGACGTCCTATAGTATTCTAAATTCCTAAAGTTGATAGTCATTGATACCTACTCTCCTTCTATCTCACTATCTTTCTCTCTTCATCTCTATGTCTTCAGCTTCATCTCCCTTCAACATGTTCCATTCATTGCCTTACTTCTCATTTGACTCAATTAGATCATCGTCTGGTCAATAAAACTTAAATATTTAACAAATGAATGAACTAGTGAATGATTTGAACGTACGAGTGGTCAATGCCTGAAATTCAAGCTTATATTGCTTTTCCAACACCCCCAGATATTAGGCTGTGTAAGCAAAATCCTTAATGAAACTTGAAGAGTAACGGAGAGACGAAGTAACACACAGAGAGAGAGGGTTGAACAGAAAACGAACACAGAAAGATATAAAGAGTGGAAAAGAGGGAGGTGAGAGCAGAAAGAGGTGGCACAAACTGATCAGCTTCTTTGCGATTGTATCAGAAGTCGCTGCACATGTCCATGTATGGCCAATTTCCCTTCGTATCTTCAAGTTGAATCTTTAGAGCAAGGCAGTTGTTCATTCATTTCCTTTCCATGCAATTAACTCACGTGAGTAATCACGTGGAGGAAGAAAGAGAGAATGAGTTTCAATTCATTTTTTTTATTTGAAGACGTAGTGAATGGTTGTGTATATGTAGATGTGTGGTTGTGTGTGTGTGTGTCATCTTAAGCCATATCCGTTCGTTTGTCTTCCTATCCTAACTTCATAGATTCAGTGTTAAAAGCTTCAGAAACTTTCTTTTCATCACTCTCTCTCTCTCTCTCTCTCTCTCTCTCTCATCCAGTTATAACTTGTCTATCTGTGCATATGTGTGGATGTGTGGAGAATTTTCCCAACATTTGTTCTGATTTGTCCTTCTCCACCCACACCCATGCCTATCCATTACATATGAAATCCACTTATTCTTCATCTTTCAGTCTACAAATATTGTCACTTCTAATAAATATTTTCAATAAACATGAAACGGAAACACATCAAAAACTGTCAAAAAATAAATGAGAAAGATGGAGACGACGACGACGACGAGGACGATGTAGAAGAGGAAGAAGCAAGATGATGATGAAGGATGCAAGCAGATAGGGAGAGTGAGATGGAAAGAACGCATGTGAGAGGAGGGAGAGAGGGTTTACTTTTTATTTTTCATCATCCAAAAAAAGCAAAAAAAAAAAAGAGTGGAAAAATCGAAACAATAATAATAAAAAAAAATATTTCTTCTGCTTCATCTTCTTCTGCTTCATCATGATCGTTGTCATCGTCTGCTGCGTCTTGGGTTCATGTCGTCTGTTGGCTCTGTTGCCAATTGATGGAACCCAAGGTATCTCTCTAGTTTTGACTTCCATCTCTCTATTACTCTCTACTCTCTCTCTCTCTCTACTCTTTACTCTCTCTCTCTCTCTATCAATGTCCCTGTTGAAAGCTACTAATTTGAATTTCTGTATTTTCTCCTTTTTGGGATATTTCCTTGTGTGATCTGAATGAGAAAATACATGGCGGGCAGACATTACAGTCTCCGTTTTTGAGGGAAAAAACTTATTTTCTCTCTCTCTCTCTATTCAGTTTTCTCTCTGTTGCCCTCTCTCATTCGAAAAGGAAAGGTTCATATCAAGTCTTATTGGGAGTCTTTATGAGAATTGAGTATAAAGCGTCATGTGCAGTTTAGATTAGTTTTTACATGTCACACAAAGATCTGACTCTCTTTCTCTCTTTGTGTTTCCCTCTGTGATGTTCTCACCCTCTCAACCTTTCGTACATCCAGTAGCTTACTCACTTGGCTTTTCCATTGAAGATTTTAAAGAGAAAGAGAGTGACTAATGAGATTTTATACATATTCCTTCATATAATTATCAAAAGTTGAAGAGAACATCACTTAGAAGTTAACAAAGCCCTGATATAAGCTTTGCTGTCTGCTTGCAACATTCAGCCATCTGAAGCTACTATTTGACATCATGTGGAAGGCTTTCTACTTCGTATAAGGACAATCTCACTTTCTCTTCAATTCATTTTTTTGTCTTTTCAAATATAACCAATGAAATAGAGATTGAGAGAGTATGAGAGAGTGCATGACAGTGTGATGAACTTCCAAATAAGTACAAAAATTATTATTTTGCATAAATAATGATGAAAAAAGTATTTTCGCTTCATCTTCAAGAGTCATACTAATAAGGAGAGTAGACGAGAGTAGAATGTAAATGTAAATGACTTGTACAGAGGGAGCGAGAGAGGATGTCAGTCTATGAGAGAGAGAGAGAGAGAGGAGAGAGAATCTCAATTATCAAAAAAGGAAACAAAACATGAGAGAGAGAGTGAAAAAAGAAGTTTTCTTTCCTACTTCTGCCTTATCTCCGTTTGAGATGAATAAACCATATGGTTGATTACTTGAGTAGAGCATGAGCTGAACGAGAAAACAATCACATCCAACCCTCAGCTTCTGCCTGCAGCTTTACACCTGACAATCATTCTTCGATGCTCGTTCACCATACTTCATATATCAAAAATTTTTATGCAAATTAAGTGATTTCACGTGAAACATTATGCTAATCAATTCATTTTGGACTCAAAATTTCATTTTTGACAATTAAACAGACGCTGACTGGTTGCTCTCTCACTCGTAGTCTCTCTCCTACATATTACCTTTACATCATGTATCTCTCGATAGCGTTTCTTATCCAGAATCTCTGTTATACTTCTTCTCTCCTTTTTACCTTCATCTCCCTCATATACTCCCTCCCTCCCTCTCTCTCCCTCTCACTCCTCTAACTATCTCAATCTCTTTCCCTCTTTGTCTTTCTCCAGATTTTCCAGCTTTTTCATTTATTTCTCTTTCCTCTTCCTGTTCAGAGTCAATGTCAATACGAAATTTTCTTCTTTTTTTTTTTATATTCAAATATGGAATACCCAGAAATCTTATCTCTCATCTAAGTCATTTTAAAGACTTTCTTCGAATGTTCTCACGTTACGTTCGGTAAGCTTCTACGATTTCATATTCATATAGCCGTTCAAAGAGAAGAGATGAATAGACCAAGAGAGAGAGAGATGTCTTGCTTCTCAGACTGAACAAGTAGGAAAAACATCTGCCATTTGAGCTCTCTTTTCCTCCTCCATATTTTAATTTAAAAATTATTCAATTTGAAACATAATATGACTGATTATTAGTTTGAAAAACAAAAATCATAAAGCTACTGTTATATACAAAGAGCTTGAGAGAGATAGAGAGTAAGAGAGAGAGAGAGAGATTGAAAAGCAGAAGATATAGAGGGAATGAATATAAAAGAAAAGAGAGAGAGAGAGAAAGAGACAGAGAGAGAAGGAGGGAGAAGCTGAAGCAGAAAGGCTGCTGCGACGAGGAATATGTGTGTCGGTGAAGAAATTGCTTGGAAGTCCTCTATTTCGCTTTGAGATGAAATTATAATGAGCTATCTAATGGAATTACTCGGCTTTTCCTTCTCTCGTTCAAGCTTATTTGTATCTTCGATTAGTCGCTTTTGTTTCCATTTTAAGCATATATACACCCACAAGCTAATTCTTCTTCTTTTTTTTTGTATTTTTTTATTCTTTTTGTTGGCTTTCATCTCTTGCTCTCCTCCTCCTCCTCTTGCTCCTCTCCTCTCTCTCTCTCTCTATCATATTCAACCTTCATACGAATGTGTTGAGATCATTCATTGTTCACACTTCATATAATTATATATATATATATATATCAGTCGTCTACTTCTACGTATACACTTACAGATGATTCGATGATTCCGCTACTCAATACAAGTTCGCTTCCACATGCAAACACTACCTACCGGGTGAGCCTTTTACCTTCATCATTTTGTCGTTTTTCGCATATTTCATCAAATATTACAATTTTTTCTTGGAAAACTAAAACTGATTTTTCATTTTTCCCAAACCAAAACTGAAAAGCATTTGGTGTGCCTCGTAGAACATATAATGAATAATCAAAGAAGAAAACACTCTCGTAAACAAAAAAATAATGAGAAAAGCGAATATTTCATTTCATTTCTCGCTTTTCTCATGCTCTCTCTCTATCTCTCTCTCTTTATTTCTAGAGAGAGAGAGAGAGAAGGTCGTTTAAGAGAGAATAGGCAGATTTGTCTGTAGAAAGCATCAAAGCTCTGTAGAAAGCTGAGAGATCTTATTCTTACAGAGGAAGGCAGAGCTTGAAAGCTCTTTCCGTAAAGGGTTCATATCAAGCTTTAGCTTTCCAGAGTAAAGAGGTACGCACTCTATAAATAGGTAAGAGATAGCTCTCTCGGTGTATCAGGGTATAGAGATAGATTAGAGGAAGCTTCATCCTTCCAGAGAGAAAAGGATATTGAAGAGAGTGATAGAGAGAGAGAGAGAGATGTGCAAGGTTTAATTGAATGAATGTTTCATTTAATTTTCTCAAAATAAACACAAAAATTTCAAATATTTCCTTGATCGGGGCAGTTCTTTGACCAATTACGGAAACAAAACTTTCAAAATTGTAGTCAAAAGATTACTTTTTCGGGAGAAAAAGCTGTCAAAAGCTTTCTAATTTCCGTTTTTGTGAGACTTGAAAACAAGAATCTCTCTCTCTCTCTATATATCTCTGTCTCTCGTACTCTCTCTCTTTCTCTCTTTTAGGATGCAGAACCTTTATCTTCAAAACCCTCCTATCAAATGAATCTTAATATATCAGCTCATGGGATGAGAATTTGAAAAAAAAAATATTTCAAGAAGGAAATGTATGGCAAAGGGTGTGATGAGAAATAAAGAGTGAGAGAGAGAGAGAGAGGAAGGAAGAGAGAGTATGAGAGATAGTTAGTGAATTGAGAAGGAGGAAGAAAGTCCGTCAAATTCACGTCAACGTGCCTTTTCACGTGACGTATGTGACACGTGAAAATGTCATTTGTGGGTTATATGCATGTCACGAGTAGTTGTGGTTGTTAAGAAATAATAAGAAGCTCTTCAAGTTTTCACATGATTCATATATGAATGTTGCAGGTTTCGTGGTCGTTTGCCCATATACTGCTGTTACTACTGATTGTCCTTGTCATATTTGGAAATGCTCTTGTTATATTAGCTGTATTAATCGATAAAAAACTAAGAACAGTAACAACAAATAAGTTCATAGCAAGTTTAGCTGTTTCTGATATTCTTGTCGGAACGATTGTTATGCCATTTAGTTTATATTATAAGGTAACTATATCATATAGTTAATTATAATTATTATTTATATATATTATAGTTATCTAATGATGAATGGACTCTCGGATATGCGTGGTGTCAATTTCATCTGGTTTCAGGAGTTTTTTCAACAACAGCCAGTATCGTCCATCTGGTTGCCATTAGTCTGGATAGGTGAGAATTAGAAGCATCTGCTTCATCTGCTTCATCTTCTTCATAATATCAACATGTAGAATGAATTCAATTTGTTCAGATACTTTGCCATCATGTTTCCAACTGAATATCAACGGCATTCCGTTTCAACATCGACATTACCATATGTGGTATGTGAGAGTCTCGATGAAGCTTGATACAATTATATATTGAAGATTATGATATGGTTAATGGCATTGGCTGTTTCATCAACGTTGTTCATGGAAGGGCCACAACACAATGCTCGTGTATGCTGGATTGAGAATCCTCAGTACATTGTATGTCTCATAATGAAATTGTTTGTTTCAATCATTCACTCTCATCCATTCAGGTTCTATCGTCGTTCTTGAGCTTCTTCTTGCCAGGCGTCATTGTTGTATATTTATATATAAAAATCTTCAAGAAGTTACGAAATCATCAATTGTACATGTTTGGAAGCGCCACACAAGGCAAGCACACCGGAGATAAGCGTCGATCTTTGCCTCGTGTTATTATTGAAGAAGTAAGTAGAAGCTTTTCATAGCTTTTTCCTCTTCCTACTTCCTTTTTCATATTATTCATTTCTTTCTTCTTTTGAAGGTTCGTTCGAGACGAGGATCTCGTCTTTCACAAACGGGATCATCTGGAGGTTCACCAACACGAAGAGGAAGTAAAGAGCGATCACCCAGTCAACCAGACATTCTTCATAATACAGCCAGACCTCCACAACGGTCAGTTGACAACATGCTTGTGTCGAAATAGAAAATCTGCAACAGAGAGAGAGATGATTAGGAGTTGTTGATGGCATAACTGGAGGGAGCAAGTAGATTTCCCCTAAGAACAAGCTTAGAAGTTGGAGCATTTCCAGCTTAGCTGTTTTCTATGTATGTAGTGATTAGATCAAACGATGAAGTCTTCAAGAGGAATAGGAAATTACCTTTTAATGCTCAAAGCTTGAAGAACTAATTGTCAATTGGTTTTGTGGGTGATTGTAATCCCAAGAGAGTCAAGCCAGAAAATTAGAGTTTCATGAAGTTTTTTGAAAAAAAAAAAAAACGAAAAAAAAATAATTGCAATGATGATGATGGAGCGGCTGTGGTAGCAGCAGTGGGAGGAGAAGATGGAGATGGGGAAGGGAGAATAAGAAAATAAAATAATTTTGTATTGCAGATGGAGAAGTCCGACTATTTGTGCTGAAACATTAGAACATGATCGAACATCAGCAGCCAAGAAACGAGTTTCCATCGTTCCGGACCCTCCATCTATGGATGTCAGTTGCAATATGAGTTCTTTTCAACAAATGAAAGACGAACACATGATGAATAGGTTTACATTTAATTTCTTATTTTACAATTACTCTTTCTTCTTCTTGTTATAGAATGAGAGAAGAAGAGTTACATGATCCGCTCAGAAAACAAAGTGAAGAAGAAGTACGCAAGCTTAGTGAAGAGAGGAAAGTTAAAATTGCTGAGAAACGTCGAATGAGTACTCAAGACAATCCGAATGGACTGCCTATCATGGCTGCTTTCCAGAAGGTTAGTCTTCAATTGAACTACTCTTCTCATAAGCTGCTCATCTGAAGGCATACAATGAGGTTAGAAATGGACGTCGACGATCTACACAAGATGTCGAGATATCCTATCATTTTCCTACCTTAGCTGGCGTAGCAGAAGATGTATCACCTACGAGTATCGATAAGAAGCTTTCAACAGAATCAAGTGTTGCTGAGACTGTTATTGCTTTGCATAAAGTAAGTTGATCAAGTTAGATTTTCGTACGTGTTGCCTGATGATTGCAGGTTTCACCCGTTCTTCTCAATAAAGACGATTCACATGATGAATCAGTCTCAACGGATGCCAGTCAGAAACCTCTTCTTTCCGTTCCTTCAAGCAATCACAAGAAGAAGTAAGAAAGTAAATTGGAGATGTTCACTTCGTTGTTAGTTTCAGACCAATTCCATGCATTCCTCCACCAACATTCCTTATGGTACCAGCAATGATGTCTCTTAACACTCCCCCTCTATCTCCGAATCTCAAAGATAACTGCACTCTTAAGGTAAGGAACTGCTTCAAAAACTTCTTAAACTGAATGGAATCAGAACAATTTGAAGGTTCCCCGACTCTTTGATTGTCCATCACCATGCTCCGTTCCATCCAATAGTAGTCATTCATCTTATACATCCGCTAGTGGAAGTAGCGATACTTACAGGTTTCTAATCATTGCTAGATTCCAATAACAAAAGCAAAGTTGTAGACGTATCTCGATGAACAGCTATGGGAGTTCATTAACTGATGCAACAGACAGCACATTTGAAATTGACTCAAGGTAATCCTCTTGTCGCACATGATATAGCCAATCATTGATGTTGCAGAAGGTCATCAGCTTGGTCAACTCTTCGAGCAGCTGTATTGGACGGAGGTAAATCGCACCATAGCAAATCGTCATCCCAACATTCCTCTATTGACATCACCATTGAAGGGACGAACGGGACTCCGCAAAAGAAGATTTCAACCATCAGCCGTGGAAAACTTCGTCGAATTGCAACTCAGGTAAGAAGATCTGTTAAAACAATGACGTCACTTATGATATATGGTATAGGTAACCAGAGCAATTCGAAGAAAGCGACGTGAATCAATGGCTATTAGGCGTGAATCTAGAGCTACACGAGTAGTTGCAGCAATTTTATGTAAATTTTTTCAAAAAAAAAATTAAATGAAAAGCAAAATTTGATTTCAGTAGCTTTCCTTATATGTTGGATTCCATATTTCTGTGTAAGCGTACTACGTGGCATAATAACCGGCTTTCGCTTGCCCATAAATGAATCTTTACATATCCAATTATTCGTCAGTACTTCATGGCTTGGATATGCTCATTCATGTTTTAATCCCGTTATCTATATGTGTCTGAACAAGAATTTCCGAGCTACGATGAAAAAATTATTTTCAAGAAATTGAAATGTATAACAGAAGGAGTAAATGTGTCATTTTCAATGAAAAATAGGTGAGATATTGCTCTGCATTTAGTATCTCTCTCTCTCTCTATAACTCTTCCACTCTCTCTCCTTATATGTATTTATCTTCCTCTCTCTCTATCTCTCTGTGTGACTCTTTGATCTCAACCTATTTCTCCCGCTATCTCTTCCTCCCTCTCTCTCTATCTTTCTCTCTCTGTACCTTTCCAAAGACTTCTTATATTCTTCTTCGTTACATATCATTCTGTCACAAATCATTTTTTATGAAATTTGCATAAGGAAAAGCTTGAAGAAAAAAGGAAATTTCTGTTTGTATTGTTTGAAAAAGATTTGTTTGTTGCTCAATCAGAAAACATCCATTTACGCTAACACATGTTCTGCCGGTATATGTCATATATGAAAAGTGTGAAAAAATAAAAATAAATATTCTTATAAACTTTGTATTTTTCATTTTCATTAACAATCAAATGACGATACCCAAAAGACAAAAAAGATGAATTGGCAGAAATGGCAAGGTAAACACATAGATAGGAAAAAGGAAAACAAGAGGAGAGTCTCACCTCAACATCAATTTTTACCAAAACTTTTTTCACAAATGATTTGGTTCAATTTGTGGCGGAGAGATTGTTATGCCCCGAGAAAGCTCTGAAAACGTTTGTAAAATCAGAAACTTATTTATACGCTGTGTATAAAACTTACATATCATTCGAAATTTGAGAAAAATCGTTGAACTTGGAACGATATGGTTTTATGAAGGTTCAGCAAGTTCTGTGCTAGCTTCAGCAACATGGTCCGCTAATGACATATGCTTTAAATAAGCGTTTTTAGCGCTAAGCCTTCAAACACTCCTGATCCACTGCAACCGCGCGTAGTACCTGAAATTAAAATATAAATAACATGACTGATATAATTAATGTAACCAGGTGAACCCAGAACATATTCAAAAGCAGAAAAGTGCCGATTGTTTCTAATATGACCAAAAAATGCGCTGAGAAAAGAAGTTGGTTGATAATTATAACCATGATAGCCCTAAAAAGCAAATCGTTAGCATTATTTGAAAAAATATAAATGAAATACTTACTAAGATAGTGTATCTGTTACATATCCAGAAATTCCTCTGCGTCTCTGCATTCCAGTCTGGCCTAACGTGTTCGCGTGCCACGTCACGTGTGTCCAGTTAATTGGAGCACAACAAACAGAACATCTGCAAGGCTAACACTTCTTTATTAGACAGTTCAGTTGATTTTTTTATCTCTCTCTCTCTATAACTCTTCCATTCTCTTCTTATATGTATTTATCTCCTTCTCTCTCTTCCTATCTATCTGTGTGACTCTTAGATCTCAATACGCTAACACATGTTCTGCCGGTATATAATTATGTTGCTTATTAAATGTGAAAAAATAAAAATTAATCTCTTATAAACTTTATAAGTTATTCATTTCATTAACAACCAAATGACGATACCCAAAAGACAAAAGAAAAAATAGATAATTGGCAAATATGGCAAGGTAAACATATAAATATGTACATAATTTAAGCAAAATGAAAAAATGAATGTAAAGGAAGGGAAGTACATGAGAGTTGAAGGAAGGAGAGAGGAAGAGAGGGAAATCATGAAGAGAGGTGATGAGACAGAGATAGAGAGAGAGAGAGAGAGAGAGAGAAAGAAAGCTTTTTTGTCTAATGAGATTTGATGATTGTTTACCCATAGTTGTTAACATCAATCATCAACATCAAACATTTGATACTCGAACACCTTTGGATGGCACGAAACGTGCTTCGGACTTTGATCGACTCATTACTTGAGAGTTAGAGGATGTAAGACGAAGACGACCCGATGATGAACTGTTTGTTCCAATGCATGTTGATATAGGACAACTACCTGATGTTACTCCTTGATGACGTACATTTCCTGATGTATTCATAGATATTGGGCATGTCTGCAATGAAACAAAAAAAAGATTATTTATTTGAAAATGAAAAAAAAAGCTTTTTGCTTTCAACAAAGTGCAAGCGCTTATGACCCATTAGCAAAGTGTAAATGATCTTCACTGCTTCACACGTCATTCATGTATTGTTGTAAACGACGTAAATACGTGAAAACTACGAGTTCAACGTTTTTTTATTATATATTTGAAATACAAGACAAATAGGAACAAACCCTTGATCTTCCATGGAAGTCGTCATTGAAAGATTCGCGAGGAGTTATGAAAATCTGCAAAATGAAAGATTTAGTTCACGTAAGTCTCTATCAAAGCCAAACCTCATCATTAGAATCGATGCTTAATCGTTTTTCAAAGGATTTGGCGTCATTTGGACAGATTTTACGATACTCCTCCAATGATGACTGGAAATATATATAAATAACTTTTGATGAGGATATAGAAAGAAACTTGAGAGCTTATAGTTCTACCAGAAGAAAACATTTTGTCTGTCATGGCAACAGCCAATAGAGACCATGCAGATGGAGCATGAGGATAGGCGCGTATACACTCCTGCATGAACATCACCTTAAGAGATGCAACAAACATTAGTAAACACAAAAAGTCAATTTGTTACTTCAGCAAAACATTCGCCCAACTGATGCCACATGCGACGTTCAAAGCCTAGTGGATAGAGTTTAGCATGGCTCCTGCCTGAAAGTAACATGTAAAGTATCTTGGCAAGGATGTGCTGCATACCAATTGATTCTGGATCTAAACCCTCGATTCCTGTTCCGCCGTCAAACAGACAAGTAAGAATCGAATCAACAAATTGAACTAGAATATGAGCATGATCTCTATAAATGATTTCAGTTGTTAGATAGATAAGGCTTTATCTACCGAATGGTTGAAATTGAACATCCAGTGGCTCGACCATTCTTGCGATCTTCGATGCATGAGAGAAAAGCTGATTTATAGAAGATCCTGGGAACGGCTGGCTCTAATTCGCACAATTTGTTTAGCACCTTGAGGAAGAAAAGAAAAAAAAAGTTATTTCGGAGAATATTGATGAAAAACCTTTTCCATAATATGAATGGTCCCCCGTCCAGATGTTTTGGGAGCTTCGGACAGTCTCTTCCACGTAACTTTCAGAGCTCGTTTCTTCACAAAATATTGTTTTGAGGGAAAGTTTTAAATTAGAATCACCTGTAGATCATTCAATTTACCATTCAGATAAACAACAAAGTTTTGGAGATTGTTGTTGGTAGCTGATTGCGGCTGCTCATTGACTTGCTTCGAAGACTGTTTCTGATCTGGTATGGGAGATGGTACTCCACCAACTCCAACAATTGGTCGAACTGAACATTTACAGATTGATGTTGATTTGGGAAGATATTTACTGTTTGTGCTGAGATTATCGAAGTCATAGTCTTTCCATTCTTCATTCATCTCATGGATGAGTTTCTTGCGTTGAATTGCTTCTTTGATTCGCATCATCTTTGGCTATCTGTAATGATATCCTGATTACAATGATAAGCTATCAACTCAATACAGAAACATGAGAAAGATACAAGAGTAACTACAGTGGCCATAAATGGAAAAATCGTTTGAAAAGTCCAACGACAGAAAGCGGTACTATGTTCCTAGCAAACAACATAAGTTCAAACTAAATACATTAATGTGAAAGGTATTGAGCACAGAAAGTTGTTCGGTAACAAATCTCTCAATTTTCATTGCAACTAAACAAATTTGTTTCAAATTCGAAGCATCAACGACGACAACAGAACACGTGGTACTCGGGTTTCCATGCTTGGTTTCGAAGTGCTTCATTAGAAGTTCTAATGGTCTTATATGGTCAAATATAATAGAAGAAGGAGAGAGAGAAACGTAAGCGGTAGAGGGAAAGTGATAAAAACAATTATTTTCACAACAAATTATTCGTCAGAAATCAAATTTTTTTTCTTTGATTCCAAAGAATGATGGTAATTGATAGAAAGCGAGAGAGGGAGATAGAGAAAGGCAGGGAAAGAGAGGGAGAGAAACAGAGATTGGAAAAGAGAGAGTAGAAAGAGAGGGGCATATCACGTAACAGATTTGAATTAGAAGGTGATGTAGTAGGAGGGGGGGGGGGGAGATGTAGCTAGAGCTTTCAGGTGGCAGAGACGTTGTGAGACTTTCAAGCAGATATGAGGCTATGGATTCCAATTACAAAGGTGCATTTAACCATGAATTTTAAAGAAAGTAACATGTCAAACTTACTTCATAAAAAAAAAAATTTTAAGGAAATTGAAAAGTTTTCTCAACAAAAATATCTTTGACAGAGAGCCAAGAAAATTTTTTTGTCAAATTTGAGTTGCAAAAGAGGAAAAGCTAAGAGATTATTCACGTGGATGAAATGGGTTCAATTTGTTTTCATGTGTTTAGTTCAACTTCCTTCGAAAAGATCCTCAGAGACTCAGGTAACTCCACAACAAAACCGTTTCTTCCTTCTCTCTCTTTCTCTCTCTCTCTCTCTACAACTCTTTGTTGTCTGTCTCTGCCTCTTCCGGCTGCAAGTTAATTGAAGACAACGAGAACGAGAAGTTAAAACAAAGACATAGGTATTCCAACAAGATTTTGCTTGTGGACGGAAGATCAGAATACTATGGAGCTGGCTAGCAGAGTAATAGTGAAGGACAGAGAGGGGAGGTAAATAGCTTGAACAACAAGTAACAATACCATTTCAGGAGTTAGGAGACAAAAGGCTTTATATTGGGTTATAGAATGCGAAAAAACTGACTGCGAGAATCTAAGTGTAAAGAAATATTTTTTTTCCACTTTCCATATGTTACATAGGCAGGCATATTAAAGATGGAGAAGCCCTGTCCAGACTTGTAGACAAGAAGAAGAAGCAAAAAAATATTTTTATCTCATTTTGCATTTAAAACAAATAAATTAGAATGAGACTGAGGAGTTGGAAGAAGACGACAGAAAGTGTTCAACTGACACAGGGCTTCTCATAAAAACAGTAGACGACACAACGACACAAAAAAGGATGATGATCCACCGAATCGTCGTCAATAGCTTATGATTAGCTGAAAGAGGATTATGTGTAATCTTCCATGTGATAGTTGATTAGACTGATACTTCGAAGATCTCTCTATCTCTCTCTCTCTACTCTTCTCTCCCTGTCTTCATCATCAGCTACTTCAGAAGCATAATGAAGACAAAAAGAAAAGTATTTCAATCATTTTACATTTCTGCAATATGATTTTGGAAGAAAAATGTGCGCGCCGACTACAGCCATTCGCAGAACACTGGGAAAACACCATCAGTTTGGAGTAAGGGGTAAGCAAAGTGAAGAAATTTCGTAATAAAACGGTCTCTAATATATTATATATGGAAATTCGATTAGAATTGATGTCATGAGCACCTTGAGCAAATGAATTTTTGATGATTTTCATAATTAAAATCATTAATTGTAGATTAAAGATAGACATGAGCTGTCAGTTGTCAGTGAGGCTCTCATTTCCTTGTTCAAGCTCATTTCAGAATTTCGTTTTCGGTGGATATCTTTAGAGTTACAAAACGAAGATGATCACAGAGATAGAGAGAGACAGAGAGAGGGTGTGAAAGAGGAAAGGATTCTGAAAACGAGAGGTCGAATATGGAGACTCATACGGTACGGAAACGAAGATCATGTTGGTGGATGATGATGAAAGAGAATGAAATCGAGGATGGCAAGAGAAAATGAGAAAGCGGGAAGATAAGGTTGAAGTATGAGAAGCATGTACTTGACCTTTTAAGATCAGCCTGTTATTTCCTTCTCTCTTCTTTTTTTACTTTTCGTATTCAGTTATTAATTGAGAAATGACAAAAATGATGATGATGATGACTGAAACATCGCTTCTGCTTTCCATGAGACTTCAGGAATTTGCAGACGATCGGACAATATTATTGTCAAACACGTTTGCTCTTCAAGGTGTTGCCTGTCATCAGAAGCTTTGTATGTGTGTGTGTGTGTTTACTTATATAAATGATATTGCGGAAATAAGACTTCTCTCTACTTATCCATACACAAAAATATCTTGTAAGTTCCAATAATAGCGGAATGAACAGCACAAGGAGAGATGGGAGAGTCAAGGCTGTGTCTGCACCGCTGAACAATGAGGAACGAAAAGCTGAGTTGAACATGATTTAGATGACACTAACTAACGGAATAAGTCAAAGTTGAATGGCAATTAGAAAACAAACCATTTCGTATGCATCTCTTCTCTTTTCTAACAGACCAGACTTTTGCTTTGACAATAGATGGAGAAGGCGCAAAGACTTTACGTGTAGTTCGTTGCTACGCAAAGTATTCCTCTCTCTCTTTAACCATATGCTCTCGCAGATGCGAGGGAGAAAGAAGTGAGTTTATTGGCTAGAATTCATGAATACATTGATATGTGGAGCTGAGATATGTTCTGTCAAGCTGGTCATATTTTCAAATTCATGAACTGAATAGAGAATATCCATATCGGCATAGAGGTCACTTCAAGATCTTTTCCTTCTAAGCATACTATTATTTTTTTTCAAAACAATGGATTTGATTGAGGCTGATGCTTTTATGAAAATAAACAAACAGCCAATAGAAACGAACGTGGAATGAGTTCACGTAGATCCACGTGAAATCTAATCGCACGTGGCTGACTCATTCTCATGTGTTCGGTATCACAGAACGGTTGCGTTGTTACGAAATTTCCACAAGAAACCATGGAACTGAAAATGAAATTCGTGCTTTGTGATTTTGAATTACAAGTGAAGGATTCGCATCTGGGTATGAGCGAGGAGAGTAGTAAGCACAAGCTTCTGGAGAAATAGTAACCCCGTTCGGAAATTAAAATGTTAAAGTCAAACAATTAAGTTGAATATTCTGGAAAGAAAAGAAGAAAAGAAAAAGTTGTTGTTGCAAAAATTGTAGAGGGAGAGAGAGAGAGAGAGAGAGAGAGAGAGACGAATACCCGAACTGCAATGGTAATTTCAGAGAAAAATGCATCGTTGAGAGAAGGAGGTAAGGCTTGTCTGATAGATATTTAATAGACAGAAGGCTGAGCCCAAAAAAATGGAAAGGTTTGTTTTAAACGTCAGGTTACATTGAAGATCTAAAATATCAAAACCCAATGTCAGACAGGGCTCAAATATTAATTTTCAATGAGTTATAAGGCTTGGCTATGTTGCAAGCAGCAAATTAATGTTTGTAAGAATGAGAGATGCTTCAACTTTGGAAGCTCATTCCGTAAACTCTGTTTGAGGAGAAAAAAAATAAACAGGCAAAGAAAAAATCGAAAAAGTTGTTTCGTATGATCTGGTAAGAATTCAGCAAGTCATACGATCTGATATTATATTTATGAATTCTCATTTCTCGCCCATCTATTTATACAACCAAACAGTTTCAAAACATTCGTGATTTATTGACTTCCATTAATTTTCTCATAACTCTTTGATTATACTTTGTATACGGTAATTATGCTCTTTGGGCTTTCACTTAAGCCTTAACATCTTTGGTTGCTGACTAAACCGAAGACACAATGGTCAAGCCACGCCCATAATATCGTGGACAGCTTGCGTAGCGTCCCTGTTTGAATTCTTATTATGATTTAGCATACTTTCACGTGTACAGTCTTTTTTTATTTTATAATACTATTTATACTTATTAGTATGTTTAAGAATGTCTCTCCTAAGTGAAGACTCCGTTATTGGAGGTGAAGAAAGCAATTTGTCGTCAGCAGAGAGCATTGAGTCGACTGCTTTGGGGAATAATGAGACCATGGACGCGGATAACATTGCAGAAAGTCAGTGTTTATGACTCAACCTTCTATAAACATTTTTTAAGCCTCACAACCACCTGCTGGAACTACAGAAACTCCCAGAACTGTGAGAACGCTAAGCGACGACACACGACATATCCAAGTATGAAACTGTTATACATATTTCGACTCAATTGTCTTGTTTAGGTTGAGCCGAAAGATGTCATTGAGTATGAATGGCCTTTGAAATCAGGAGAAAAATGGTTCTTGCAGGTACATGATCTATAAAAATAGCTGAAACATATTTTTTTCTTAGGAACAAATTGGAGAATTGCTAGATATTAAATCATTCTCGCGAAAATTCCCAGATCTCACAAGACGAAAGGTAGAGAAGTTAGAACGAGATTGGCTATTGGATACATATAATATTAATGATATAATGAATGAAACACGTATGTCTTTTATCATTTAGTTCTAGCACTTATGACGACATTATTAGAACTGCGGGATCTCTGTGCGATGCGAGCTATTGAAATACATGATTTGATGGGGAGTGAATATCCAGCTATTCATCAGGTAAACATAGAAATTCTTAGTTTCGAAAAAAACAAAAAACAAAAGCCTTTCAACACTCTGTTTCGTTTCGAATTTATGAGAAAATAATTTGTTTGAACGATTAACTGCTCTTAGTTCCTAAATATGGAGAATTGTTTTGCTTAATTTGTGATTATTGAAATAGTTCCACTGAAAATGAAAAACATTAGTCTATTTCATTTTCGAACGAAAATACACAACCGACTTAGCGAACTTTCTAATACTAAATGAAACTGACTCACGTGTATTGTCCACGTTTACGTGAAAACTCACGTCATGGAATATATTCAAATGTTGAAACAAACTTTTCAGGAATACCAACGTGTCATGGCAGAACGTTTAAAGGCTTCAATGGTCGCTCAAGCCAAAGAAATGGAAGCTGTAAGTGTTTCACGAATTTTATTTTGATTCCGATTTTCTTTTCAAGATAGCTAATGATTCAAAAAGACTAGCAGAACTCAGAGTCAAAGCAATGAAAAGTGCTTCCGACTATAATCACGAACTACAAGCTACCAAAGCCATTGAACGAAGACATTATTGGGATATCCAAACTAACGTACGTTTCAAATCCGAAAACTTACAATCAACTCTCCCTCTGCAGATAATACAATCAAGCAGTAATCGCTGGAAGAAACTTCCTGCCAAATATACAAGACCGGGTCCTTACCCTGTAGCTGTTATTTTAGGCCAATTTCAAAATTATTATAAAAAGTTAGTGTTGTGATGTGTTCGAGAGGTGATACGAAATGTTTCAGGTTCACTCCGGAAGAAATGAGAAAGCTTCCTTTAGGCACTGCAGTGAACTCTGATGATTTTTATCCAGTTTATAGAGAACCTTCACCGCAACCTATCACCGTAACCGAGAGGGAGATCGAAAGTAAGAGAATGTTATGAACTATAAACTACGAAATAAACTTTAGAGTTCGAAAAAGTTGCTGCTGCTAGTTCGCCGATTAAGATAGAAACTCCTCGGAATGAGTATGCAAGGAAGTCTGTAAGTATCTTATGAGAATATAAAAAACATGGTGTGTGAGTGGAATGGCTTTCTGCTTCCTCTCATATGAAAAGGCGTTAGGGATAGCTGAAAAAAAAGAAACAGTTATCATAAAATGGGTGTTTAGGTTCGGTCGTCGAGACGTGTAACGTATGCAGACGATGATGATGACTTCTAAAAAGGCCTAAGGACGGTTGTGTCATGGATCTTTAACTTAATTTCTGTATAGATGCGTGTATAATAAATAGTACCTTGAGTGTCACCTTCAGATGTTTTAGTCAATCCAATTCCCATGTTTCAATCTAAGATATCTGTTGACACTCTCCCCATCCCCCAATTTTGACTTGTTTTTAAAGTGTATCTGACGCTTTGAATTCATCCACAAGTCTCCAGTAAGCCTACCACATTTGTTTTTTATATAATTTTTTTAAATGCAGATGTCAGTCAAAAGTTCCTTGAGAAATCATGGCATCAATCCATTTGCTGACTTGATCTGGAACGGAAACCGCCTTGGAATTTGCACGTTGTAGCTCTGGGTGAGCCGGTCTTGAAAGGATCATCTCTTACTCCTGTTGAACTGAAAGACATTGTCAAAGTTTGAACATCAGAAAGTGCTACTATCACACAAATGATGTACCAGCACTTCCTTATTGTTTATCGTTTGAATTGTTTCTTCGTCAGTTTTCACTTTTGTTTATATTATTCGGCTATCGGCACCTATTTATTTGATTATTGATTGTTTCCCTGTATCACCTTTCTCCTATTTTGTCGTTCCAACTAATATTATTACTTTACTGGTGTGATGATCTCTCAGTTCATTAAAACTATTTGACTCTCTTCTCTCTCTTATCATATTGGTTGAAACCAAGTTTTTATTTTAGTTTTTCACTTGAAGAATCACAAAATTTTCTCTTGTTCAGTATGTCCGCATCGTCTGTATCGTTGAATACAGACGTGAATGTGAGATATGAGAAGTTGGCTACTGAGTATGGGAAGGTAATTCCTAAGATACTTTTTAACAATTCAATCCGTTACCCTTCAGCTGCGGGCACAAGCTAAGGTACTAAGGGAAGGTGTTCTGGATGAAAGAGCGAAAAATGAAAAAGCCAAGGTTCCCAATGAATTCGCGAATCCATATATATCTCGATCTTTAGGAAGAGTTAAAAAACAGAGACTCTGTCATTCGGAAACTTCAGAGCGAAAATGAGAGTTTAATTTTCCGAAATGAACAGCTCTCTAAACGGGTTGAAGCGCTTCAGACTGAAGTTGAGCAATCGAAGGTGTGTATGGACTTATATGAAAAGCCTGTAATGCTTTCCAGGTTCAAAGTAGTAGAAGTTCCAAGAAAGTCAAGGATAATCCTTCTAAAGATGTTCTTGAACAACTTCAAAGTATGACAAAGAAAGTGGTCGTATTGGAAGAGGAACTCGCCAACAAACTCGCCCAAAACGAAACTCTCTCTCGAAAGGTAAAATCATAGGAATACTGCAGTGGTGCTTACTTCTGCTTTAGCTCGTTGAAATGGAAAATGTACATATTGAAGAAATATCAGAACAGTCAGAAAAGTTCAGAGTTGAAATCACCAAGCTTGATAAAGCTCTTCAAGATGCTCTTGCTGATAACACCAAGGTTAGCAGAGAAGCACTGTATATACTGTATCGTGTTTTGTAGACTTCTAAAAGGAGACCTGTCGAGCCTGTTCGTCCCTTGTACATTCACGCTGAGCCTAGAAAAAACTCGCCTGATCCAGTAATTAAATCCTTTTTTGGGAGAATAAGTGTTTTACTTTAAAGATTGATCAGCTAGCACCAAAGAGCACAATGGACGGTTCCATCTTCGAAGATGTATCTGATGTCTATCTCCAAGGATTAGAATCTTCAAAGCAAATCCTACAAAGTTTGTGTGAAACACCTACTTCTTCACAAATCAGTTCCTTTTCCAGATTTATCTAATTTATTTCACCTGTTATCCCAAAGAAGTACGCTTTACCCATTCGATTCCTCAATGGAACAACTACCTCGAAATATAAATGAGGTTAGCTGTTCAAACCTCAAATATTGTTTTTCGTTTCCAGCTTTCAGTTGAACTATCAAGCAAATGTACCCTTATTAGCAATTCAGTTGATGTCATTGACGAAATTATTAACCGCGGCTCAATCGACGTCAGATTTTTACATTTGTAACATGATCTTATAACTTCCTCGTTTCAGTGGACCTCAGATACCAAGCTACTTCATGCTTCTCTTGCCTCGTTTGTTTCTAGTTGTAGCGAATCTCTGACCAAACACTTACATGAGTTATCTCGTGAAGAGAGCAAAGTTTGTCTTAGCCTTATGCGAGTCTGATCTTCTTGTGTTCAGACGCTTTACGCTGATAAAAAAATCGAAGAACTTAATAGTCAATGGTGTGATGCTCTTCTCGAACTCATCCGAACCATATCAGAGCTAACATATGTTCTGAAAGACTTGGATATGGAAGTGATATGCGAAAAGATGATCAGCTTCACGGAATCTGTTCAGAGTATTATTTGTCGTTGTTAAGGGTGCCTATCTTCAATTTTGAGATGTGGAACGAATATTCTCTGACCGATGGAAGATTGAGTCCCGCTTTCCAGCAGCTTCTAAGAAACTTCATTGCATTTGCGATGCTATTATGGACTGTATGAAAAAGCTCTCCATAGAAGCTAACAAAATAAGTTCGAAGCTGAACTCCATAGTTCATTCAGTCAGTTGATTACAATCCGTCTCATTTTGTGACACATCTGTTTCAGGTTGCTGAGCCTCCTGCGAACTCATGTGAAGAAACTCCTGATCAACCAGAAGAGCCTCAATCTGTTGTTGAAGAAGTTATATCAGTGGAGATCTCTCCTAAATTCGAGGTGATGACCGTAGTCCAATCTTTCCTATCTTAATATCAACATTTAAGTTTTCCGAAACGACAGAATGCTTAGTGTCTCCTCCCATACGCGATTCTTCCAAGGAAGACATTCTGATTATAAACACTTTGAAGGAGCGTGTAGCTGAGCTGGAGCTTGAGAGAGAGAAGCATTTGGTTGATTTATCTCTTCTCAAAAGGAAAGTCGCAAATCTTCAGTCGACTGGGAATGAGTTTGAGATCATGAGTTTCCGGTTTAATAGTTCGTATTAAGACACATAGAAAATGTGGAGAATATGAGTGATGCTGATCATGTCAGAGAGTTTGGTAAATCGCGTCTAATACATTTGATGGATCAGAGGCAGCAGGCAGAGTCCAAAGCAATGCACTATCATAAGGAATGTGCCATTTTGATAAGAAAAATTAAGTCATTGCGTGAAACTAATGTAAAACTGGAAAGTGATATAATCGAAATGAACAAGTGCAGAGAGAAGTTGGAGGTACTATCTCATCTAATATGAGCTCATTCTATTTTTATTGTGACAGGATGAACTATGCTCCGTTCGTCATGGTTACGATACTCAGTTGTCTTCGCTCTCTGAACATATAGCTGAATTGAATGCGAAAGAGAAGAGCAAAACTCAGAATGTACAAAACTCAACAACGATAACTACTAGAGGGGTAAGATAACTGCTAAGCACAACGCATATTAATTTTCATTTCTACAGCTGAAATCCCTTTTCAAATAGATAACCGGTGGACGCATGTACATATTATTGTCAGTGATTTTTGGTTATGTGTAAACTTGGGTGATATACTGTGATAGGTTAGATTATTGTGATTGCGTACTTTTATCAAATATCTGTCTAAAGAGCTCGTTTGAATTAGATTGATCTTTTTTCAAGCATATTTTTATATCATAATATTAACAGAGATCTGAATTTTTAGTTGTATTTAATTTATTAACTAATTTAATACTTAGATTTTTATTCTTAAATAAATTTTAATCATATAATCTGTTTTGAAATGAAAATAGGAATGACGCGATGACTGAGGTTGAGCATAATGAGTGATAAGGAATGCAACCGATCTATGCTGAGCGTAACTAAAGATGCAACCGAACAGCGCGTCTGCCTAAAGGTGAATGAATCGCACTGGCAGCACTGACGTGAGCACGTGAACGTGTACGTGGATTACGTGAAACCTGCTATGAACCTGATATGAAATTTGATGTTCATTATTTATTATTAAATATAGGGTTTCTTCGCATAATAATATAATAACAGTTTATTTACAATCTACAAGTTGCTGATCTTAGGTCCTCTTCAATAGTTGATGCCGTAGCCGTTTCATCTTCATCAGAATCGTCTTCGTAGGCTTCATTCTGCTCTCCTACTAGCGCAACTTGATTACCGATTTTGTGTTCATGTTCATGCTCATGTTCATGCTCATGATCATGATCATATTCATGTTCATGTTCATATTCGTGTCCATTCTCGTTTTCGAACTCGTTCTCATCTTCTTCTCCCTAAATAGTATGCATTTAATTATTTTCAGAATTGTTCTGCGAAACCTTGAAAGCCCAAGGACTGGCTACTGCTTTTCCTGCTTTGGTGGCTGCTTCTGCTTCAAGCATCTCTTTCTTCAATTGCTCTCTTATTTCCATTTGAGCCAGTTTATGACCCGCAGCCAGTCTAAGAAAAGACAGTTCAATCGTGTTCAGGCTTATGAAACCTTATCAAAGCTCTAGGAAGTTCATTCTCTAAACGACCATAGTTTGCTTCTACCATTTGATCCATCAGAGCTTTTCCTTTAGTTTCAGGTTGCAAGAAGAAACCAAGAATAAGAGTGATAGCGATCATGGCTTCAGGAACAACAAAAGCTCCAGCGGGCCAGGATGATGTGAGAAGAGGTCCGAGTACCAATAAACCAATAATGCTACCTATGTGTCTGAAGTAAGTTTGATGTACATATTTTAAATAATGAAGTCAAACTTGACAGAGTGAAGACATCCGAAAGCGCAGCAACGAATGACAGTTGGATAGCGTTGAGTTGTGATTTGTACTATGTTGATCAAGAAAACGCAATCGTTAATCATGGTTGTCACGATTACAAGAATGGTGACGGCTTAAAGAGTAACGTTCAAATATTCAGACTGACAGGAGCCTACCGATATCATCATATTTGAATCCAGTAAGCACGAGTACGATTACAGCTCCAAAGAGAGCAAATTGTGTAACTAAAATCGTCGACATATTATTTTGAAGGAAAGCAATGAAATGGTTACCTAAAGAGCCCACGAACTGTACCTTACGACCGAACTGGGGAAGCGTTATATCAAGTATGATAATGAGGAATGGAGTGAACAGACGGAAAACTCCATCAAGGAAAACAAACATAATTGGAGAATCTGGTAAAATTTAATATTTTAATCCTATTTGTTTGTAACTCTCAAACCATGCATCCCGCTCACAGTGTAAAGATAAGTATTAGAAACCATTGAGTATGTGAACATTGACAACATCTGCATTACAGACTGCTTGGCTAATCGGACGGAGCTATATTCGTATAAAGTATAATCATTTGTATTCAAGTTGAATTACCTGAAGAGGTGGTAGAAGTTATAATATACCCGTTTATCTTGTTTTTTATAGATAGTTGAAATGGTGTTTGTTGTGAACCTTGCCTTCGTATTATTCCATCGAGGATGAGCAATGTCGTTCAGCACCTGAAGCTCTCTAATTTCAAGAATCCTTATTAAAACTGCTTACATCACAGGCTTTGTTAAGATTTCCATTTGCTATCAGCCATCGAGGGGACTCCAAGAATAACATAGATGCGATTGTCAAAGGGCAACTGACGAGATTCAAGAAAACAAAGTAATTTTGCCAATCCTTAATGATCATCTTGAGGTAAGGAAGCATGTTAGACAAACCTTTGTTAGTAAAGCGATGAGTGACATAACCATATAAGCGAGAGGCCATTGGAAAGCTGTCGCTAGAATTACGCGGTACTTGTTATTTGTATACTCCATCATCATTGTCAAAGAGGTTGTCTAGAAGTTAATGAATGTAAGATGTTGTAGCACACATCGGTACCTCAATCACTCCGTATAGGAAACAGTTGAGAGCCTGAAGAATCGAGAAAACTATCCATTCATGAGCAGCAGTACTCATGATAGATGTCACTATGATGAGAAGTTGAGCATAAAAGAAAATGGTCTTTCGTCCGAACCAATCACCCATATGACCTCCGAAAACGGATCCAACAAGCTGCAAATGAGAGGATTTATGAGAAGGAGGTAACAGAAGTTAACCCACAGATCCTCCAGCTTGAATTATTTGAATCCATTTTACTTTATCCTTGTTGTCACATACGAGTTTGAAAGCTCCGACAACCGAATAGAACTCTACAGAACCTTTCTGAGAAACAATGAAGGGTTTGAATTGTTGGAGTAGTGATGATGACTTACAACAGCAGTAAGTTGTACACATTCTTGTTTGACTATCTGACATTTCTCATCATCCAGAGGAGCTGTGACTGAAATGGAGGTTACATTAGCTTTTGTCATTGCAATGCTGTGTCATACTGATATCGGGCGTTCCATCAGGTCTTGTGCAGTTCCAGTCTGGCTCAAGTGAGCCAAGAACTTGCATAAACGTGGTATTTCCTGGAGAATCAATTTCATTTCTTTATCATCAAGCTTTCAAAGTTTTAATGAATTTTTCGGAAAAAGGGCTTCGTTATAAATTACGAGGCAATTTAGATAGACAGCCTCCATGAGCTTCTGTTTTAATCATCGAATGATAAGAAAGACAAATAGGTATGAAACGTGGAAAAGATGCTAATTAATTGTAAAATTAACAAAAAAATATATAAACAAACAGTATTATGACAATGTAAAATGAATTACCTGCCCATTCAATGGATGCGTAAAGGATTACGATGAAGGCGAAGATTTGGTAGGCACCGAATGGATTGATTTTCTAAAATAAAAATATGTTTGGAATACAGCTTCATTCAGATTTTCTACAAATATACTCTAACGATTAACTAAAGAAGTAATAACAGCCAGCAAAAACCAAAAAGTATCTCCAAATAGGTACTTGGTTCAGTTTTTTCATTTTCAGAATGGGGGAGCGATCGAGGTGTCAGGGAATGAATGAGCTGGATGGACTCAGAGAAAGTTACAAACCTGGAGCACTTCTTCAAAATGTGTGTAGAAGACCACATTGTTCTTATTCTTTCGCCTCCTCACGAAAGCAGACGGCCTGTAATGCACAAGAAATCAGAAAATAGATGGAAGAAGAAGATTTTCAAGATTGTGCTTGAACATTGGGGGGAAAGGACATAAGGTTGATCTCGCTCACTAGCTCACTCTCTGGTAAGACAAACTACATGTACATGGTAAGATGATAATCAACTTAAGCATTACCCATCATTGCTAGAAATGGATGAGCCGACCATATTGAGCAGAAGACACAAATGGTTTAGATGTCTAACCCCAGCCTCTTATCAGAAGCTTGTCTACAACTAACAAACGGTATGAAAGATCGATTATTGGATTAAACTATACAAAGGAATTCACAGGCGTAGATTAGAATGTTTGAAATGATTTTTTTGAACGAAAAGATAAACACCCGGAAATGATATGAAGGAGAGTAGATGTAAAGACGATATAAGAGAAGTGAGGACTATAAATAAATAGAAGAGCATATTAAAATAGAAAAAGTAATTAGTTGAATGACTTCAGACTTGCACGTCTCAAATATCGTTTGGATGGCTATTGAATGACTTGCAAAGGTGACACGACACATATGCGGATGTGGGTTAAGCAGCAACAGGAAATACTTACTCCTTTTTAGGATCATATCCAGATATGAGGTCGACATCAGCGAATTGCTCCTTTTCCATAGATGGGAAAGCAATGTATCTATTGAATGAAGCAGAAAGAAGAAAAGAATAAGCGCAAAGTTATAACGACTGAAATGAATGTGTAGAATTGATGCCGATCGTCTGTCGGTCATAAAGATATGCATTGATTCGAGCTGATAATAGACAAAACTTTGCTGTCCCTCATCAACCAACTCCAACATGCAACTCAAAAACAAAAGGTTCGTGTTAAAAAGTAATTCAATTGGACACGCATATCGCATGCGAGACAAACTCTGCAACAAGACGTTCTCCTCCTACGCCTCATACCTTTTGATACAGTTATTAGTGTCACTGTTTGCGTTCCGTCTTTCTTTGATACAACGAGAGAAAAAAAAACATAAATACTTCTCACCTGATTAGGACAGTTTTTCATTTTTTGTTTGTTTGTTTTCCAAATCGATCAAACACATGTTAGATATTCGATATTTTCAACCAATTTTCCCTAAATTAAGCTGAAGGTAAACATATGCCCAAATCCGGCATGAACTCAATTTGTCGTCATCACACTCAGCCATGCTGTTCATTCACTTCCTTTCGGCATTTTTTGGATTTTCATTGGTGAATTGTAATTCAAGTTAATATCAATGTTTTTAATCATAAAAGTAATTATTTCATTCGTTACAGATGACTCAGAGCCAAAGAATCCATTGGAATTGGCTGTTATCCTCGATTCACCACGTTTGGTCGAAGTGGTATGCTCTATCCTTTCCATACAGTAATTCTATTTCATAGATGTGTTTAGGATGAATTTACGAGCTCTATAACATTGATTTTCAACTTGCTATTGGATCCAATCAATAGTACTCAGAAAGTGCCAGAGTACAATGGCAAGAAGGATACGACTCGACATTTCTTTTTCGAACAATCGTCAGTCAATTCATATATAGAGAAGTAACTCATAAACTCTTGTTCAGGATAGTCGAATCACCATCTCAGGCTAGATTGTCCCTTGAGAATGTCGGAATGCCATATATGCTTAAAGTAAAAGTTTTCTGTGAAAATTTCAATTTGGTTAATCATCCGAACGATGATCATTCATGTAAACTGTCGTTCATTTCGAATTTCTGGAATGCCAGTCGATTACTCCTGATTCCCCATGTCACATCAACTTCATCGCTCAGAGTAAAAGCATTCTGATTTACATTTAAAGCGTTTTTACACGTGTTCAGGCCAATTCCCGATGGAAATGTGAAAACACGAAGAGTTTCGTTCAATGGATCATACACAACAATCAAACATATGAAAAAGCTGTTTTCGAATGGCACATTACCCGGTTGGCCAATCACACTCATTTGGTCGTTTGGATTTTATATTTCTGGAACTCGTTCTCTCTAGCAATGTCATTCCCTCTCATTTGGAATAGTAAATGTTCACCTGTAAGATTGAGTGTTGATCAGTGATATTTGATCCTGATTACTTTCAGACATTCAATCATGGCATCTGGATATGCTTAGGAGAGACATTGATTATACTTTCGTTATCTGCAGAGCAGGCAGATTTGCCAATTTTTTGGACTGTCGGATGTATGTTACAGTTGAAACGGTCAATGCTTGGAAGAAAAGTGTTCAGTTAAGAAATCATTTGCCTTATTCGCATATGGACTCATGTGTTGCGTTCTATCCAACTATCTACCATCGTTGTTACTGATGTTCCGCGTCATACGAAGTGATGCTCATCCATCACCTCCACAATACCCAAGTCCCGAGGAGCAAATCAGTCTGGATAGTGAGCGAACGAGGTATGAAAAACAAAGTGACGTGAGTTCCGTGAACGTCAATTCTGGGAAGAAACTGTTTTGAATGCAACCGCTCAGCATGTTTATGAGATAAACAATACATCGACCTTTCGAATGATCATATGAATGTCACGCTGCGCGTTTTTCACGTAAACCACGTACACGTGATATTTCAATTTCATAAGAAATTAGCGCCGAAACCGAACGTTGTATAAACAAATTAAAATCTTTTTATAATTAAATAAGGAGTTGTATTACTATAATTGAGATGACGACACAAGTTGAACGAACATCCGACAAGTGGACTGGAAGGTTCGAGAAGTCGTTTCGTTGATTTTCAAACTTTGTTTCATAAAAAGAGTATTCATATAGTCACGTTTATTTGTGAAAAAAAGGAAGAAAATAAGGAATTTATGAATCATCGAGACATCTGCTTGATTGCAGGCTGACAACGGTTTTGGATTCTGCACGACTTGACTCAGCTAGAAGTACGAGAACAGCTCAAATGGATTCTTGTATGGTATACACAATCTTGAAAATGAGTAGCAAAAACATATTTTTACTTCCATATAGGCAGAGTTGAAATATACTTTGGTGCATTTGAACGAGTTCATGAATTACAAAGCAAACGCTCAGTACAGGAGGTTTGTTTTTCGTTTTCATTTCTCACATTATCGCATTGTCCATATATGGGGTTGAAGCTGCGAGCTTTTTCAGGTTTTTGTGGTCATCATGTTATAATCGGTTGGTTGCACTAACTGGAACAGTCCTTCAATTGGTTAACGGTGTAATCTTTCTGATGTAGCCATCAAAAATTAGAAGACCATTACGATTGGCCGGACGCGGAAGTAACTCCAAATATCTTGATACTAAGTCCCTACTCAATTGGTCATGATTTGTCAATGACTCTCATACTCTTCCTCCCTCCAACCCTTCATCCGTTTATAACGTTTAGAATGGACAGTACCATTCGTGTGATGCGCGTAATGGAATTCAGCGAAGTAGCAGCATCTGTAGCAGCCATGCAAACGAATGATTTATAAATTCCTTCAATTTCCCCCCATATTTTCGAGTATTTTTCATTTATTTTTCTCGTTTTCTTATCCAATCTAGTCTTTATCTTTAATTCTTCGGTTTTTGAAGTTTGCTATTGGCCAAACCGTGACTATTTTCATATAGTAGCTAAGATCAAACAATTGTCCCCAACAACCTTGTTCATGTAATTCGGGAAATTTGGCGAAATATAAAACAAACGGTTATCCAAACTATGTTTGCTGTCGTCATCATCATCAACACACATGAAATTAGGAGAAAGACAAAGACGTCGGAAGAAAAACGTAGATTCCATACTCCATTTCGATGTCTTTTTATTTCATTTTCAAGGGTTTAATGACGCTGTATATTGGGCAAGGAATGACTTCTAAAAACTATTTTTCAATCGTACAACTTTCGTACAAATGAAGTTCGAACACTTCTCGTGTAATTGATTGACTTGTACGCAATTAGCAGTCAAGCAGCATGCCGCAACCTGAATGGCAGGTCATGACCTAATGATCCATGACCATCATCACACCGTTTCACCAGAACAAGATGACTTTGATTTTTGAAACATGCGATTGTTTTTCGAAATAAGAAGAAATTCCTATAAAGGTTCAGATGGAGACGAATGAAAACGAGATTAGGATGGAAAAAGCAGAATGTTCTCAAACTGCTTTCTTCTTCATAGTTCATGAACATTGGCCGTTCCCAGCATCTAGCAGGATGATGAAGGAAGGAAGAAGCAATGTGCTGTACGCTATAAACTCCATAAAACACATTCTGAATACACAAATGCGCAATTTCCTCTCACAAGAACTTTTTTGTTTTGTGTTTACAAAAAAAACTTTTTTTCTCTTTATTATCATAGACAATTGAAGAAATGGATCAAAATACAAACTACATTCTTCTTTCTCAAGAAGGTACGGTCACAATGGGAATTCGTCCCTGTGTGTGTTGTGTGACTGTAAGGTGGTGATTAATGTCGATTGGCGCCTGATTGTGACGTAATCTTTCTGTCTAGTCGGACTGATATCTTGCGTGGTGGTTTGACCGCAAAAAAAGTTTAACGAAGAAGACGAAAAAACCTTCTCATGGACCAAACCTCATCTATCTAATTCAAATTAGTAATCCCGTATATAAGCTGTCAAATCGGATGAGTTGTCTTATTGTTTCATGTGTATATGTGATACCAATAAATGTTTGTTTCAACTGTTTTCATATTTCCCACATGTTGTGGGAGATGTTATGAGAGAGGTCACTTAACCATTATCTTGAAGTTGTTGTTGTTAACGTTTTGCAATCTCTGATCATTCAGTTGAATGCCACATTGGAATATTTTAATTATGTCTTTGAACATACCGCCACGTTCGCGTGTTCAACCTCAATTAGCATATATTCCAATTGTACGTGGCAAACGTGAAAATGAGCAACAGAACAGATCACTTTATAAATATGTGACGCTAATGATCGGTCGATTTCTCCCGGAAAAGGAAATGTGAGTTTTTTTGTTTGATGTTCATTCACTTCCTTCTCACTTTTGGACTTTTGTTGCGTCGGTTGTAATTCTGGATATGTTGATGTTCTTAGTGAACACAAATTACTTGTAGTAGTTGAAGCTTTTAACATGAAAATCTATACATTAGATCCCGAAGAATCTAGTTAGATTAGAACTTTTCCTTATTACGCCATCCCCTCCTTCCCCGCTTTTTTTGATTTTTTTTCCCAAATTGGAGGTAAAAGGAATTTGAAAAAGAACGAAGCATAAATATGTTTTAACTGGAAATATATGGAATGACTGTATCCATATATTGAATTAGAGACTTCTTCCTTCAAAATGCGTTGTTGACCAGTTAATTGGTCAGCTATCCGTCGTCGCCTGCCTCTAGCCTCTCAGTGTCTTTTTTGCCTGCCCTGTATAGAATGGCTCGTAGAAACTGGTTCATTATTGAAATTCTTTACCTTTTCCTCTCCTCATCATCTCAGGTTCGAATGAATGATGTAGCATGTGGTCAAACGACCTAACAATTATCTTTCAACGCATTTTTTTCTGTTACGTTTTGAAACATTCAAGAGTCTAGTACATGAAGCTTACTTTCATTATAAGACTCGCATTCATCTTCTCGTAGTTATTCTGCTTCATTTGATCATTCTTCTAAAGTATCTCTCTCTCTCTCTCTTACCGTATGAAGACGAAAGCTTGAAGAGAAAGAAATAAAAGTGTTAATGTGATAGACAACTTGATCAACACATGTGCAATTTTGTGTTTTCTGTAGAAAATTGTTCAAATTGTCATCAGACGACGTCCTGATCATCATCATTTCATCTCTCATCTCATATATCATGACTATAAATGGCATATTAATGATCAGCCTGATGTTCTCTTTCATTATATAGTTGAACGATGGTTGTTAGCTTTAAACAGTCTTCAGGAAGCTTGTATTCTTCGAAGGTTGGCTGATGGCCATCAAAAGTTAACATTCGGCTGAGACCTTTGTTACCGAGCGAAGTGATTCACTCACCACATCTCTTCCATGTTATTCATGATTAACCTATCATTTTTTGAATTTGAACTAGCTGACAACCTTTGTCTGTGTTAGATATAGACCGGTCAGAGAAGATTTTTGAATAAGCTCGTCGTTATGTTTTCATTTCATCCTCGCCTGATAAAAATTAATTCTCTTCAATTTAGTGGTTGATACACTTTCCAACAGCTTTTGCGTTTTAACATGAGTTGGTAGTCTTGTTCAAGTTCTCGCAACGAGATGCTTTCGGATAATGGTAATGATCGACAACGGACGTTCAGACATCCATCTTATATCTCGCTGTTCTCACATTCCTGTGTCGTTTCAGTAGTTCTAAAATCGTATTTTTTTTATTTTAAAAGAAAAAATGTCGGAAGATTATTATCTTCTTCCTTCATTACATATAGATGAAAGGTGTTATGAAGTATTTGATATCACTAGATGCAAGAGCTTCTTGACCAATCTCAAGGTTCATCTGTTAGTACTAGTACACATTTCAGTTATTGCATTCTTCTTACGTTTGATTCATCAGACAGTCATTTCACCACACGTACTCCTCCCCCCCACTTTTTTTGATCGAAATGATCCTTTTTTCTTGATGTTTTTCATTTCTTCTCTTCTCAAAATCGTTGATGATCTCTTAATCAAGACAATTCTGGTTATGATGCATTGAATTCATAACTGAACTGCCTGGAGATTGTCTTCAGACTTGAAAACAGTGAACTTCACGACCTCCCTTGCTTAACCTTAGAAAACAGTTCGTCCGCTTTTCCTATTTTTGCCATCTCTTTTTCTCTCTCTCTCTCTCTCTCTCTCTCCCTCTCTGTCTCGCTCTCCTCAACCGTATCCTTTATAGTTTCTTCTTTGATTCATTTCATCTTCATTTTTATCAAATTTGTCTTTTTCATTTCAGTCTCTCTTTCTTTTCCGCTTTCCATTCTTGAACTTTTCACATTAGTTGTCCCCGAGCTACGGTTCAGATCTCACCTCCCTGTTGGGTTCTTTTTTAAAGATTCTAATGATTGATTGTAATGATGAAGAACACCACAAGCTATCTGAAATGCTTTTTTAATAGCAGTTCTGATAATACTTTAACAGTTTGTTTTATGTTTAACAGATCACTGATCTTCATCTGATCAAGTTGTTCGATTAGTTTTCTTTGAAAATTCAACTTTCGAAAGTTCTTCTCTTGATCAGATATAAACGTTTGATCTTAGAGTTCTTATTTGGGATCTGTCTAACCAATCTTTTGCGCATTGAGTACTTCTAATATACTTCTGAAGGTATGGTGTGTCCCAATTGAAGATCTCGGATTTCAAGGGTACAGGTGACTTCCAGACATTCCAAGATACAAAGCTGGCTATTTCGTAGTAAGTATAAGTAGTTCAGCTTCCTGTTTCGTTGAATCGTATGATCACCTTGTCTATCTTGCTTTCTTCGTCTGAATATTCTGACTAACTCTTCTTTACAGTTAGCATAAGCAATAGTTCGTTTATGATTACTAATCGATCAGCCTTAAGTTATTTTGGTATGGAAAGCATGAAAAAGCTTGAAATTGTCATTCAAGCTTTTGTTCCTAAAACGTTCATTCTCTTTTCATTTGATCATGAATTTCCTTGATAACTTTGCTTTACTCGCATTCAAATACATTTGATAGAACACAAAAGACATGAATTGTTGTTTTGTAAATAACAATAACAATAGATAACTTCATCATTCAACTGTGTCCATTTATAAATGCTAACACTCTAAAGTTTCCGTATGTTCTTTGAAAATATGTCTTACTGATTGCCTTTCTCTTCATTCGAAGGTTTGAACTCTCCAAGACATCTTCCGTTTCTATTTCTTCATTCTCACTTTACCCATCATCAAATTTGAGTTTGCTGTTCACTGTTCAATCTATCTTTCCATTCTTCACACGCACTCAGCACTTTCTCTCTATACTGTTCTACAAGCTGTATCTACCTACCAGATGAGATGATACCTTTTCACTGTTCATTCTACCTCTTCTTTCTTCACATGCGTTCACAGCTCTTTCTTCTTCTACTGTCCTACAGGCTGTATAGATCTAACAGATGAGATGATAGCTCTCTCATCTTACTTTACCCCAATCAGTCTTTCTTTCTTTTTCTTTTTTTTTACAAAACTGTTATTGTTACTCTATTCTCTTTTCCTCTTTATTCGTCTATGAGAATACTTGAAGATACTTCTAAGGCTTTCTTCCTGTCATAATTAACTTGTTACCGGACAATAGAATAAGTCAACAACTGTCCACATTCACCTACATATGGAGAAACGGTGAAGTTCGTTATTTACATCATCCGCTTCATTCTATTATTAAAAGATTTCAAGCGAAAAACTGATTTTCATATTGCTCAGTTGATGATTTCCGAATCTTCTTTGTCTTTGTCACATGCTCAAGTTCGTTTAGACCTTTCCGTGGTCATTTCGTATCATACGATCATTCTCTGTTTGTCTGTCTATTCTTCAAGCATATACCATTACAAGTTGAAAAACCAACATGTTCATTGAATTTGTAATTTTAAATCTTGAAAAAATTGTTTTATATTCAAAGGTTCTTCATGGAAAAATCTCTGTCCGAGTCAGATATTCCATTTAAGAACATCGACCTTGATGTCCTAAAGGAGGTGTTTGATAAATGAGAGACATGTCCTCGGACTTTTGAAAATAATAGTTTTTTAAAATAAGTTCAAACTATACTCATTGTTCCAATCAACTTCCTCGAAAACTCATTATCTATTTTCTGCGAAAGTGCATGATCAAGCTTCATAGGGTGGGGGGGGATGCTATTGTTTAGAACCATCATACCCATTGCGATGTATTTTGTGGACAAGTTCTCAAATACTTTCTCTAATTCTCAGTTCTCTCTCAATCATTCTTGTTATAACGATTCGTTCTGTCCTTTCACGAGATCATTTAATCAAACTATCATGTCAGCAGCTTTTCAAAGACGACGGTCTTCTCCCCTAACATCAATGAAACACTCACGTTGTAATGTCTCATTGTTTTCTTTTCTTTTTTATTTATGCACAGTATCCGAACTTGTCCTATTCATATCATCATTAAGGATTTACTCATTCACAACGAAAACATCTATCTTTCAAATACTAAACGATAATGCGGCTTTGGACGCAAAAATATCAAGCGCACTTAGAGGTTTGTTCACATAGCCCTGCTTCTTCCATATACTTCACTTTCTACAGAAATATTGTTATAAACTGGGATTGTCTATCGGACATAACCCTTGGAAGTATATAATTGGAATTCTTCTGTTTACTGCACTTTCATGTGTTGGATTTTTACGTTTTCATCAAGTAAAATATCTCGAAGCACCTCCTTTACACCCAAGACTTACAGATTAACAATGCCAGAGTAACATTCACGGCTTCGGATTCTCGATCGCATGTGGAAGGAGCGGTTATGGAGAAGTTCCTTCGACAGAATGGAAGTTTGCACATGGTTGAAGTAAGTATAGCAAGGATTTAATCAGTATAACCTCCTCTTCAGGTTATGATCAAATCTTCTGACAATGGATCTTTGCTAAGAGATGAGTTCCGTCATCAGCTATGGCAGTTAGTATCAGAGATAGCAAATGATATTAAAGGACATGTTCGTTCTTTGAGTTTATAACCTTCGACATGGAATTAGTTTTCAGGACAGTACTAATGGATTTTTGTCTTACAAGAACATGTGTGAACCTTACTGTCAGAAGAACGATCCCTTCTATGCTTTCATAAAGCTTTACGAAAATAATATCACAGACTTAGAGGTATCTGATACTTAGAATAGACTACCAACCCTCATTCATCAACTTCAGCTTACTTATCCTGCTTTGGATATAATGGGAAAACAGTTGTTCATTGCCAACAACATATATGGTGTGACGTTTGTTAATGGATCGTCCAAAGTCATTGAAGGTTTCAATACTGTAATCTTGAGATATTACATGGTTCATAGTGAAATGAAACCGATGCTCGAATGGGAATCTGGGGTTTGTTAGGTGTTTGTAATGACTTAATTTTCGTTAACTTTCAGCTTCTTCGCTTACTGTATGAGTCCAACAAGTATCCTTATTTGAGAGGAGGAGCTGCTTCTGACAATATTGTCTCAAAGGTTTCATAACATATTTTCGTTTTCTCATAATTAGTATAGGAAGTCAAAGCCATGGGGACGAGAACAGCTCCTTTGCTTTCTATTTCATTAGTGCTTCTGATGGTTTTCCTAGTAGTATGCTCATTCCGGTAGGTCACCTCTATACCTCATTTCTTATTTTCTTTTTTTGAAGTCATCGAAGACAAGAATCTAAACCTTGGGAAGCATTACTGGGAGGAGCTATTCCTGTACTTGCTGGATTGACAACGGTCGGCTTGGTTTCGGCTTCTGGTCTTGCTTTTCAATCAATTGTTGTCAGCTCACTCTTCTTGATATTAGCTATAGGTGATTCTGAGGTTAAGCTATCTGTCAAACAGTTCGAATTATAGGAATCGATGACGTATTCATTATGTTGTCCGCCTGGCATAGAACTGACAGGACTTTGGATATTCCTCATAGAGTTGCTGATATGGTTAAAGTAAGTTTGTTATAATTTACGCTTAATGGTTAACATTGCGTTGGTTACAGGAATCTGGATGCTCCATGACTGTCACTTCAATCACAAACGTTGTCTCATTTGGTAATGGTGTCCTTTCTTCAACACCTGTCCTTCAGGTACAATCTAAACAACCATTGGTGTAATTATCTTTTCTCAGACTTTCGCTATCTATTCAACAGTAGCTAGTATAGCGTGTTTTGTTTATCAGCTCGTTCTCTTCCCGGCTATCATGACATTAACAGCACCAAACGAATACAAAAAGATTGATGACGTCAAGTAACGAGAATGAAGATTTTTAAAAGCTTTCATAAATATATCTTTCAGTAAATCATGTCTACCAGATGAAATCGGGTTCATAAAACCTTTAGGAGTTTTCCATGATAAGGTCTGGAGAAAGCTTGCTAGGGTTGTAACTCATCCTCTCACTGCAGTACTTACGATCGCTGTTAGTTTTGACACTTACATGGTTTATGCCATACTTGGTTACAGGTTCTGATCTGCTATTGGGCTACAGCTGTATATGGGATTTCAATCGTTAAAGTAGATTTGGCAGTTCAACATTTAGCTCCTAAAGAGGCCAAAATTGCTCAATTCAAAACGGAGTACGATCAAGCTATTAAGGTTGGTTAGATTCTTTGGATGTGATTCAATTATGCTTGTCTAGGGTATGCAAACTGTTGCCACGGTGGTTACACAACCCGGTGATTTGAGAAATAAAACTCATTTTTCTAAAATCGAACAACTTCTGTACTCATTCGAGCATACTAGCTACAGGTGATATTGACAACTAACAGTTAAAGCATTTATTTGTTGCAGTTATGGTAATGATTCGACCTTTTGCTTCCTAAGACCATATTTGGAGTTCTTGAACTTTTATGAAGCTGATGAAGACGATTCAGTATGAGGGATTTTAGAGTTTATGTTATCCAGTGCCATCTTTCAGCCAGTTGTTTTCACCTACGCTGCTATGGAAAGTTTCTTGCGGATAGATCCTTACTGGGCCCCAACATTACATATCAATATGACGGCATGTAAACAGAATGAACCTTCATGCATTGAAGCTTTCCTCTTCACGACAGGTTTTACTACTCTCTCCAGGTTTCTTCAGCTGTTCCACAACTTTTTTATACTTGTAATCCTTAGCTATAATGAAATGTATCCCCTTCTGGAAGAATGGAGAGCAATTAGTGACAAATATCCTGAGCTGGGTGTGTATTCATACTCTGAAAGAAGTAATTTTGCTGATCAGGTATTAAACTCGAGAGAGGCTTTGCAAAAATATGACGTTTCAAGACTGCTGCCTTAACGGGGGTTATCTGGGATACTCTCCTGTCTGAAGTTATATGCATGGGCCTCTCATATATCGTTCTTGTGCCTGACACTGATTCTATCATTGCATCCATGTTTGCGCTACTATCTGTTAACATGGGAGTGAGTTGTGTACCACATTTCGTGTAACCAACGTTAATTAAGGTGTTTGGCTTCTTGTCACTCTGGGGAGTAGGTGTAGATCCTGTATCTATGGCTGCTCTTTTGATGAGTATCGGATTTTCTGTGGATATATCAGCTCATATAAGTTACCACTATTATACAGTTAAAGCTCCGGTAAAAGTTTTATTTTAGAATTGTTGACTGATTTATATTCTTACAGACAGCTCGTGAAAGATTAGAAGATGCATTCTTGAACATTGGATGGCCTACCGTACAAGGTGGTATGAGTACATTAGCTGCAATGTTGCCTATTATAGTAATTCCCAACTATTTACTCATGACTTTCCTTAAGGTAAGATACTGCAGTTCATTTTGTGAAATGTAATGAATTTCAGGCTGTTGCCTTGGTGATTGTGTTTGGTTTGTTACACGGACTCATCGTCCTACCGGTATTCTTATCTCTTATCGATATTTTGATGAAATCAATTGGGAGGAATCGGTAACAACTTTTCTATCTTTGAATTCTAAACAAACCAATCTGCGTTTCAGAATCGTCCCAGAACCTGTTGAATATCCTTCAAACAGCACTTCATGTGATAGTCTGCCTCAAAATTTGGAGCCACATCGCATATCGATTAAGAGTTTTACCAATTATATTTCCAAGTAGGGATATACTTGTTAAACGATTAGTGACAGATTCGTAGCTGGAATCCATTCTCACCGTATCTTAAGAATTATAATGTTGTTCTACGCAATATTCATACGTTGTCCTTTCTACTTGCTTGCTTTTCTCATACGGGTTCATCATTTATTATAACTTATAATACATAATATATCATATATAATGAAGTAGCTTTATCTTGTCTTATCGCCCAGAGTGGTTGCATTCGAAAGATTCAAAATCTGAAACGTACTTACAAATGATTATCATTAATATCAGAATGACACAACTGTTCCTTGTGTATCTCCATGTTTATCATCTGAAAGGGTTAGTACATCCTCCTGA